TGGCAATTGGACAATTAAAACAGACATTCGGATGGCGGGGAAGAAGAACAAACTGGGGAGGAGGGTAGAGAGAATGGTGCAGCAATGAAGGAATGAAAACCCAAAATCCCTGTAAATGTTCATTAAAACTAATTAAAAAAACCCAAAAAAACAAAAAACCAAAGTTTGAAGGAAACAATACCAGGAGGTTGAAAAGTGAGTATACTAATATAAAAAGCTTAACAATCACAAGGTTTTAGAGAAAACCTAAATGTTTTGGGATGCACACTCAATGCCTTACCTTGGTCATCTTCTGAAACACCTGGATGGGAAAGATCCACAACTATTTGGTCCCTTGGTACTTTTGGATCATATATATGGAGGTGTGCCCCTTCATCCATCAAATATTTGCTAATATATATGCTAGAAGATTCTCTGAAGGGAGAAAAAGTGCATCATTAAGCATTTAAATCACACTGTATTTTAATTTTAATTAAAAAATTTTAATTTTAGGATCTAAGTTAAAATGCCATTTCCCTTTTTTTATTGTGATTTTAATGGAAGTTTACAGAAATGTTGGATTTTCAATCATTGTTGCACATTTTTCTACTCAACCTCCCAGTTCACTTTAAAAAAAAATTTAAAAAATCATTGTTGGATAATTTCCTCCCTCCCCACCCACACCTCCTCTAGTCGACTTTGCTATGTACCTCTTACTCTGGACTGCTGTCATATCATTTTCCCCAATGCAGGGTCAGGGTTATTATTTATCTCCTCTTAGTTTCCCCTCCACCCCCCTCCCAGTCCTGTTTTATTACAGTGGTGTAATATCTTATTATGTAATATCTGTCCTTTTGTGACTGAGATATTTCACTCATGATAATTTTATGAGTTCCTTGTTTTTCAGTGCTGCATAGTATTCCACTGTGTGAAAATATCATCGTTTTTCTATCCATTCATTTGATGGTAAATTATATTTTTTTACATTTGTTGACAGTAAAGTTCTATTTCTTCATGAAAAACCAGATGCTAATTTAGTCTTTATATTATATTAAACACAGAATGTCGTTGGAGGGTACTGTTGGACTAGTTCTAATATATAGCCACCCAAACACAATAAGGACCTGTCCAATCTTCACTATCATTGCTATGCTGGAGCCCATCATCGCAGCCACTGTGTAAACTCATTTTAAGGATCTTCTTCTGCTAAGACACTCCACTTTACCAAGCATGATGTTTTCCAGGGACTGGCCTCGCTTGAGAACTTGTTCAAAATAAATGAGAAATCTTCCATCTTCACTTCTGAGGAGCATTCTGGCTGTTTATCTTTCAGGACAGATTTGTTCTTTTGACAGTCCATGGCAAAATCAACATTCTTCACCAGCACCATTATTCAAATGCACGAATTTTTCCTGGGTCTTCCTTATTATTTAGTTTTTGCATGCATGAGACAATTGAAAATATAATGGCTTGGGATTAGGCACATCTTGGTGACATCTCTGCTTTTTTTAACATTTTGAAGAGGTCTTCTCAGTAAGTAGATTTGCCAAGTGCAATACCTCATTGGACTTCTTGACTGCTGGTGCCATGGGTGCTGATCATGAATCAAAGTGAAAGGAAATCCTTGATATATTGTTTTCTACATTTACCATGATGTTGTTTACTGGTCCACTTGGGAGTATTTTTGTTTTCTTTATGTTAAGGTATAATTGTAGTCTTTGGTCTTTAAAAGTTTGCTGAGTCTTCTTTATTTTCAGCAAGCAAGGATCCCTATCATATATTAATCTTTTTATAATCCTGATGCCTGACTCTTCATATAGTCCAACGTCTCAGGTTATACTCAGCACACAGGTGTATATACTATATATAGTAAAAGGATACACACACACACACACACACACTAGTAAAGGATACAATCCTGATATACACATTTCCTGATATTAAACCACTATTTCGTCTCACTTGGATCTATAATAAACACCATTGGTGCCAGCAATCAAGAGAAAAGGAGATATACTGCACTGGGAAAACCTGCTGTCAAGGATCTCTTAGGAGTAATGCTGCCAGTCTGAAGACTAAGGTGCGCCCGACTCAGGCTATGGTCTTTTCAATCACTTGCTATGCTGCTGAGAGCTGGACAATGAATACAAATGACAGAAGAACTGATGAATTGGCTTGTGGTATTGGAAGAGAACATTAACTATCCCTTGGATGGCCAAGAAAACATATATGTCTTGGAAAAAGTGCAGCCAAAGTGCTCCTTGGAGGCAAGGATGGTGAAACATCATCTCACATATGTTGGGCATGTCGCTAGGAGAGAGGCTATTCCTTGAAAAGGGATATATGCTGGGAAAGTTTAAGGGACAGCAAAAACAGGAAGGTCTCAACAACATACACTGACACATATCAGTGACTGCAGCAATGGACTTCAGTGCCCTGGTAGCACACTGTATAATGTTTCATGCTGTTAACTAAATGGTTGTTGGTTCAAAACTACCATGCGAGAGACAATCTCCTTTCATAAAGACTACAGCTTTGGAAAGCTAATAGAGGGTTTCCATCAACTGGAATGAACTTGAGTATTTCAATATACATTTCACACATACATTCACAAATCAAACAATCAGGATGAGGTAAGTATTCAACACACTTGGGAGGGGGGTGCAAAATATTTTAACTGATTTAATATTTACCTTGTATCGCCAGTGTCCTTTTTGAAAGCAAACCCCAAAATAGCTATCTTCTTATCGGTCACTGTGTTAAACAGACTGTCTATGATGTGGGAAGCAAACCTCCTCCTCTGGTAGTCGTTCATGTCTATGACCTGAAACCAAAGGGGCAAGTGCACAGTCAGCAGCTGAAAGAGGTGCAGCCTGTGGTAGGAATTACTCAGATTTCACAGTGAGGACTTTCTTGAAGAATTAAGTCTTCCAAAAGAACTGCGGCAAAGATTATCCAACCTGTTAAGCCTGTATTCAAGGAAGGGAGCGGGGAGGAGGCCCTCTCTTTGCTTCTGGAAAGCCAAATGAAACAATTTTCTTTTCATCTGACTTGATTTTCCATGAATCCGGTTAATATTAATGTAAGGGTGGAAAGTACAGTTAAGGTTCATTTGCAAGAGCATTTGAATCCAACAGTAAGTCAAAGGAAATAAAGCATATAGAAAAAAGACTTTTTTCTTTTAATCTACTTCTAGCAAGGCTGTAAGCATTCAAATCCCTAATTGTTTCCTTATATGCTTACCTCTGCCTGCACAACTCTCCACTCTTCCTCAAACCAAGTGTGAGTAGACAGTGGACAGGGAACAGCCAAGTTATGTACAGCAATAGGTGCTTTTGGATAACCCATAACACCAGATACTTGGCAATGTATTTTAAGTACATGTTTTAAGAGTCTTTCATCACATAATATGTGACCATCCTAAGATCAGCAAGACTTCAGGCTGGTAACCATACCAAGGAAAAAGTTAAGTGCACATGCGTGTGAGTGTATTAAAGACACTGAGCTTCACAAACTGAAGAGCTTGGGAAATTAACATAAAATGTTAAAAAGTCACCTTTTACCTACATTTTCCCCCCATGATGAAAAATACAATAAAATCATTATGTTAGACTGAGTGAAACACTGAAAGTGCACATTTCTCTAAAATCTTAAAAAATGTGCATTTTCTTAGATTCTCTTACCTACAACTGAAATTGAAAATTATTAAGTCAAGGGAAATGTTTGGGAAAGGCCAGTAGTTTGACTGATATTGTGGACAAATTATGTAACATTTCTGATCCTCAGTTTCCTCACATATAAAACAACTGGTTTAAAAACCACAGCTCATTTTTCAGAAGTTGATCTCAGGCCTTTCTTATGAAGCGCCTCTGCATAAACCTGAATCTCTGACCTTTTGTTTAGCAGCCAAGCACATTAACCATTCGGAGCCACTCGGACCACTCCTTCACTTATAAATGAAAAACAATATCAATGATGAGGACTCAACAAAAGTCTATGTTCTGAAACTCATTCAAGACTTCTAATTTGGGAAGAGGAGCCTTTGTGGGACAGTGCATTAGACACTCGACTGCTAAGTGAAAGAAAATTGTAGGAACCCATCAGTCCCCATGTGGGAAAAAAATGAGGATGTCTACGCCTATAAAGAGTAACAGCTGGGGTGCCTTGAGTGGAATCAATTTGATGGCAGTGGGGCTTTGTTCTGATTTTTTAATTTGGGGAGGGCAAATGATTTTAGCTTTGTGAATATGAAAAACAAGTATCAAAACTTCCAAACCACTCTAAAGCACTGCAGTTCAGGCTCACAAATGATTTTGGGATTTGTGCCTATTAGGATGAATCAGAATTAATCTTATGTTCTTTAGTCTGGGAGTAAACAGAGTCATGAAATTAGAAATGCTGGTTTATCAGAATCTTGCATCACAGTTGATTAGTGTACACACACACAAACACACAAGGTATGAATCTGTGCCACAATTCCCAAAGACACAGTTTGAACTGCCAGCTGTTTCACAGGAGGATGGGCAATCTCTTCCCGTGTGATTAGTGATTAACTGCCTCTGAAAACCCACTGGAGGGTCAGCTCTGGGTTGGTTCTGGCTCGATGTTACACAACAACAATGTAAAATAAACTGAAAAGAAAAGTCTCTGGAATAAAGATATCCCATCAGAAACCTCTCATAGACAAAGAAAGACTTGCTTTAGTTAGAAGCTACACAAAGAAAGACTTGCTTTATTAAGTTATTGACTATAGAGATTGATACCTGCTGCCAATAATGAGCCACCTCAGGCAAATTCAGAGTCTCGCAGAGATACACCAAATTCAGAACATCTTTTTGAAAGCAACTTCCACCAAAACCTGCAGAAAGAAAAACACAGGCAGTATTTTTATTTAAGAAACACACACAGACAAGTCAGGTTACAAATTTAACATTCTAAATCAGTGAGCCTGTGCTAGTTAGGATTTTTAATAAAAAAATGTTGGAAGACTAGCGGGTTTACACATTGTGTGAAATCTGCAAGTAATTAGTTAACTCTATAAGCAGTTTCTAAATAATTTTCTGGCTAGTTCTATCACAACTATATTTGATTTTATGAGAGTTTTAAAAAAAACCCATTTTTTCTTTTCTCATTCATCTGGCATCACTGCCTCACATAACTTAATCTGAGGGGTCAACATATTTTTACAGTAAAAAGTCAACTGATAACAACTTTTTACTGATGAGAGTTTCATAAGTATTTGTCTACTATATAATTTGTCAACTATTCCACTCTGCTCTAGTAGTTTGAAGGCAATCACAGATAATATATAATCAAATAGACACAGCAGTGCTTCTATATAATTTAGTCATAAAGCAAAGTGTAGGCCAGATTTAATCAGAGTTCCATAGTTTCCCCCTCCCTTCTAGTGCAATATAATATATAATGAGGATTGGAATCAAAAACATCTAGCCACTCACTAATATGCCCGTGAATAAGCTACAATAACTTTCATGAATCTTAATGAACTACTGAAAGGAAATACCCAGATCCACAATAACCAGGGAAGGAAATGACAACCCCCAGGACGCTGAGGGGCAAGGGAAGCAGCAGGGCGAGACCAGCTGGAGGCAGTGCTGGGTTTCTAAGTGCAAAAGCCTAAGGTGAAAAGTCACTGGTATGCTGTGGCCCAAGGCTCTGAGCCAGGTGCTAAGCCACCCCTACACTGGAGGCCTCCAGAGTACCCTGTTGCTGAATAACAAGGGATCACTGCTGGCCTACTCGGTTATGGAGACACTGATGCCCAGGTCACTGCATCCATCGCCACTAACATCTTGGCTACCTACAACAGGAAGGGGAATCAAGCATTCAATGAAGACAATCTCCAGTTCATCCCCATGGACTGTATGGTATGGAAAGAGGAACCTGACTTCTGCTCCCTTTGGGGATTCTCCAAGAACTGCTCAGATCCTATCTTGTGGAGATTAGAATCTCCAAAAGAATTGAGTTAATCTGCAGCAGCATTTGTAATAAACAGCACCTTTCCTAGTAACATGGCCAAAGAGAGGAAATAAGATGGACTGACATGACATAGTGACTGCAGCAATGGGTTCAAGCGTTTCAGAAGTGAGGAGGGTAAGTCCCTGATGGGTTGAAGGCCACAAGCAGAAGATTTTTAAAGGGAAAGAAGTTAAGGATTTGCTTAAAGTCGATGTCAGTCCAAAGGAAGAAATCAACTTGATTGATGGGGG